GTTCTTCCCCAGTAGACGACGACCCTGGTAAGCTAGACAGTGCGCGTAACAGGAAAACCGAATGAACATCAGCAGAAAAGAAAACACAAAGAGAAAAAGGCGACGGAAAACGCGAGAGAAATTGAGACGACTGATATGATCAGGAGATGTAATGACCGTGGTAACCTTGAGATTCACCTGTTGCTAAGGTTGACATGATTGAAGACCCAGACAATGGCGACAATGATGTTCAAAAGTTCCAACGACAGACTCAATTAAAAAGATTTTTTTTCGAGAAGTTCCGCTACACCACTTTAACCGTTATTCTTCAAAGTCATTTCCCAGTGGTTTTGAGACAATGGGAACTGTCCGCAGTCACAAGAAAAACTGGGAAACTGAATGGTAGTGATGGTGACACTATCAATCAGTTTCCCAGTTTTCCGGCATATTGCAATCTAAACCAGCTGTCCTTTACCCAGACCATCCCAGCGCGAAAGTCAATGTCTAAAGTAAAGCTTTTGGCGCTGGTCGATCCTTTTTGGAACGCGCCACGCATTCTACCCCATCCGTTTCGTGCTAAGCGAGTGCGATATTCGTGCTCAGGCTTTCGGGCTGCCTCTAGGGACAGATCTTCAGCAAACCTGGTAATTTGGTATAGTTTGACGCCACCGCCCGTCGACAAGGTGTGAAGCGGTCCCGTGGCAAGAGGTTCATGGAATCAAACTTCCTCTAGAGGCTAGTCCCAGACAATTCCAAGTCTTGATCTCCCGAATTTCGAAAACGAGGCGGAAAAGGGTGAGTAGCGTCAAACTTCCTGTAAATTGAGCAAGTAGTGACGGCAAAAGATAAAACGCTTTGTTTCGCCTCTCTTTCAGATGAACTGCGAGAGGGTGACCGGTGAACAGCGGCTCACGTCAAGAAAAAATGATTGGAAAAATTAAAAACGCATTCCACGATTCCCTGGTAGGTGGAGTCCGTGTCCTACATTAGTCGTCGGTATACAATGGTGCAGATTGTCCCACCTTTCGAGGCTCCACAGTGAGTGACGAAAGCGCTGCGGTTGGAATCAGGGTACAGCATCGCTGTACACATAGGGGTCGTACTTTTCTTGCTGGGGAGGGAGGAGTCGTATTTGGTCGCTGTTGGGAAGGGGGGGGGTTGTATATGCCTTCGAGAGAAACTTGCTGTGTTTTTTCCAATTGTTGACTTTTCACGTGATTTTTCCTGTTTCATGTGTACTATTTATCCCCCCCCCGCTCGACGGAAAATCTGTGAGTGAAAAACTGGAAAATGTGGGAAATTTTGGAAAAAATGATAGGAAGCAACTGTAGGAAAGGGGTAGGTAGGTGGAAGGGAGGGGTCGTACCGAGACCTCCCTAGAGAGGGGGGTCGTCTGTCGCCACCATTTCACACATCACGATGCTGTACCCTGCTCGGAGCGCCTCCAAAACAAGCAGCCTCACCTATCTACAGGAGAAATATGGAAGCGGTCCTGTATCTATCAGCACATGTATGTACGCTGCGTTGCCTTCATCTGCGTAGGACCGCACTCTGCCATCTAGCTCGTCTTCTGCTCCGTCTACCTGGGATGGGTTTGCCAATTCAGCCGCAAAAGAGGACGTCTCAAAAAGTAAACCCTGCAGTGCAACTTAACAAGTGTGTAATAGTGGCACTACCAAAAAACTATTCACGTCTCATTTCCAATGCATACTTTTTGAACTAAAGCCATAACAGGGGCAGGTTCAAGTGTCGAAATACGCTAAGTAGAATAGCCACCTACAGAACTAGTTAGTCATATCGGCTTTTAGTACCAGCACTTGAGAAAGGAAAAAATGCTCAGAAAAAGCGTTAGCGTTACAGTCTTGTTGGCCAAAGTAGTGACGCTTTAGGATAGCCCTTTCTTCCTTGACCTTCGGGGCGCTATAACTTACACTTTATTAAATTCTTATCGGACACTTCTACTATCATATTTAAAGAGCATATTAAATACTATCACGATACTCCGCCACAGCCTTCTGGAGGAGCGCCATCGAGAGATTCTGCCGCGCGACCGTGAGTGGGTGCCTGAGTTCAGCGATATCGTTGATTTCCCCGCCCCTGTAGACCACCCTATTGAGCTCCGCCCGAACCATGTAATTGATAGGGGTTTAGGTCAGGTGACTATTCCACCTTCTTCAGGTACTCAAGACCCCTCCATTCCAAGTAGGCAAGAGTTTTCCCAACGCCCTTTGATCCCATGTGCTGTCACCCATCCTGTAGCAGTACAACGTTTCCAAGAAGGTACGGGGGTGACGACATGTGGAGAGGATATTCTTCTCGAGTTGCTCGATGTAACCGCCAGCGCTCACCTTTAGTCCGGGGCCCACGAAGAAAATATCGGTCTCTCCATTCCAGGTACGTCCGGTCCCCACCATCAACTGGCGCCTTGGCGACTGAGGTGAAGATGATCCTAAACCGTAGCGAAGTTGTCGGAGTTGCTCGATGTTGGAGGTCCCCCGGATCGAGATTACTGCTCTCCATGGGTGACTCCATACTAGAAGTTTCGCAGCTGTTTGGAGGTGACATGAATTCCAAAGGTCTTCTCCAGTCAGGCTGCGACTGGAGATGACTTTATTTTGGTGTACATGAAGGTGATGGGCGAGCGCCAGCTCCTGCTTATAGAGGGTCCTCTGTCTGGGCTGCGAAAACTTTGCTGATATGTGACTCGGTCGAAATGACTTTTTTGTGCCCCCCTAAAGGTCAGAAGACACGTTCAGCGATTTAAGGTGTTACCAGTAAAAGTAAAAGCAGGCAGAACCGTCGCAAACTTCCTTCAAAAGGTTCTGCTCTTGCCATTGATTGTGAGCAGTGGACTTGTGAAAGGATAGAGCGGAATGGACATGTGAAAAGGGAGGAGCTGAAGAAGCGTCGTTAGCGCGAGACCAGAGATGAAGTCGGCCAAAAATATACAAAAACAAGCGAGTCCAAAACACGCAGCCGAAGTGAAACAGCGGTCTCTGATGGGGAGGGGTCCAGGTAGAGGCATTTCGACGTTACAACTTAATTATGAGCAGAAATCAGAATGTACTATCAAATGAATGGTCACGACACCCATGCCGTCACAGACTAAGGCGCAGGCTCGCGCATGGCACATCCCAGGCAAAATTTCTGACAGTTTTTTCACTAGTTGGCATACGGCCAATTGGCCAAAAGAAGCCAAATCCAATCGTTACCATCTTTTGCCGCAATGCCTATCCAACGCTGCACTTCTGGTGATGCTAGCAACAGGCTCATTTGCTTAAAGTGGGGGGGGGGGGTATTTCGCTAGCTCCCATATCATTGCTTATGTGGAGAACTGTGGATTCTTGTAAACGATGGTGTAGCGTCACTTGTACTTGACATTAGTCTACAGGTCTCGCCAAGGAGGGATGTGTGTATTGAGGGGAGCCTCAGCCCTCCTCCCTACCCCCTCTCCCACCCCTGCAAGCCGAACAGCGCCTCCAAACGTATCAATAGCTCACAATAACATTGGAACATCTGACACAGTCATCTCAAAATCTTGCAGTCTGACACATGTGTCAGACTGCAAGATTTTGAGAAAATTTAGTAAGATCAGGGTTTGGTTGAGGGGTCGTGTGGGAATAGGAAAACTTGGGGGGGGGGGGGATCGCACTGACAAACACCCTATGTTCCTCATACAATTTTCCGGAAACTCCGAAGCTCTTTTCTCGGGACCCTGCAATCCCTGTTCCTCCTCAAAAAACGAAACTCAAAAAATTGTCGCCGAGCAGGGGGTGTAAGCGGGTAAAACAACGCACGTAAAACGGGAAAAGCCGGAAAAGTTCCACAGCAAAGGACTTTTTTCACGAAGGCGAAGTACGCTCCCCTCCCTCAAGCGAATAAACCCTCCTCGCTGGGAACCCCAATGAACGACATGTCCTGGCAATGGCAAAACCCCTCACAGATAGCCATACCTGCCATCGCATTATTAGTTTCTGAGTCGAGTATTTTGAAATGGATGTGTAAGGCAGCGTTCAGACTTCGCGAAGGCAGCGCCTGTCGCGCGTTCGGCGCGATGCGCATGCTTTTAACTGCATTGATCGTGAACGCGCGACCGAAGCGCTGCTGTCGCGAATTCTGAACGCTGCCTAAAGTAGCGACCATGCAACCACGTCAGCCATCAGTGGTGACACCGCATGCATGGCGTACTCCAAACTGTGTAACTCGTAAAATTGAACATAAAGAATCATTGTCTGCATAAGCAGATTTGATCCAATACCGTATGATTAAGGCGAAATTCTTTATCTGCTATAAATCTAAAAAGGCGCCATGGCACACGGTAACAACAATAACATGACTTCATCGAGAACTTGTGGATTACGGTATCATAGCGATCGATGGTCGGATACGGTATTTACAGTTAGAATTTCTTAACTATAATGTGAATAAAACAAACAGAAACCGGGGCGATAAAACGCTAACGAACTTTGTGCGCTGCCAAAATGTTACACGCATTAAGTGGACTGAGATTAGAACGAACGATGATGAACTGTAGGTTAGAGAGGATACTGAATGTGGGAAGGAGGGGGCAGGAGAATAGAAGGTGAGACGCGTCAGGCACATGTGCTGAAGAAACGCGACGCGTCATTGTTCACCTTCAAAGGAGGATGACAACAAGAAATAGAAGGCGGGACGTTGTCTGAAGAAGAAGAAGTATGCGGCCTATGGTGGGGAAAAACATCAACAAGGCAAGATGAACGGCTGAATGGCTCGTCGGAAATCACACATGAATTGAGCAGCATTATGTACGTGGCCACGGCCTATACAACGTCATAAAATAACATACCGTAACCGTAGGCATAAACACACACAGAGAGAAGTTCTATGGGGGAGAACATTCTTCAATCAATAGAAATCAATAGAGAAAGAATACAGGAATAGATGCGCCCTGATGTCGTCGCGGAGGTGTCAGTCGGTGCCGAGGCGATGACACACCGCACATCGTTACATAGCGCATACGCTTCTTCACTTTGACGGCAGCCATGATATGGGCCTCGAAAAACACGGACAACTAGTACAAAGGAACTGTTGTACGACCCTAGAATTTGATAATCTCCTCCTGCTTCGATGTGCTGAACAAACTGCCACGGGTGATGGAGGGGGCATAGCCGGGTGATTCCTTCTCGAGTGGTTGCCGATTCATTGGCGTCGGCGATATCGACGATGGACGAGATGTCCTGCAAATCGGTGATGAGCTCGATGAAATCCGAAAATTAGGAGGGAAAAACTTACGGCATCCTCGGTTTGGGCGGCACTGGTGGCGGTAGCGCTCGGCCCGCGCCCACACCATTCAGATTATCATAGTTAACGGTGCGGCCATTCATGACAACAGGAATCTAAAACAGAAGTTCTCGGTGAAAATCTCAGCTCAGTTGGGAACTGGTTTGAGCTACCAGTAGATTACGCCATGCAGTCGTATGCTGGCCGAACTCTTACATGTAATTGGTGCATCACAGATCCACACACTTTGCCTTGGTGGGTTAAAAGCGACTTGCGCGCAGAGCAACGAATGCTGGCCAAGTTGTGTCTCAGTGACCTCCTAAGTAACGCAACTACCCATCTGTTCAGCTTTTCTAGAAGTCCCTCTGTAAGCTTAGCAGCCCACCGTCACACCCCTACTGAGCAAACTTAATAAAGGCTGCCGCACCTTCGCGATAGGATCCAAGTCGCCCGGTATGATCTTACTTAACCTGAGCAAAATCTCCTATTGGTCTATCCTTGCGCGACGGTATGAATTTGAAACTTCTCGGGAAAACCCAGCTTACTGAAGAGAGGCGAGGGCGGGAGGGCGGGGGCGGGGTGTGTATATACTCCGCCACTGTCATCCGCCGCGATTGCCTGTCCAGCGTCACACCAGATCTATGGGAAATTCGCGCCTGTGCACTCGCCGACTCCGAACAGGTGCTCCCAGCTTCGAGCAACCTACTCGAATTCGAAAAAGCATGAATTCATGTCCACTAAGACTGAGTCTAAATTGACAATTGTAAGGCTAATCGCCCATTTAGAATAACCAGTCGGCAGTCGACGCCTGCCCTTCGCGGTGCGATCCCCTTATGCGTGTGAATGGGTCCTCCGCATCCAAACTAGCCATGTCGATTCGCCCGTCAAGCTCCAGCGCGAACATTACCGTTTCACATTTTGTAAGTATACCCCCCCCCCCCCCCCGCCCCCCCCTAGCAGACGGTGGCGGCGGCTGATGGCATAACTCGAATTTTTCGTAAAAGGAGCTGAGGGCGCCGTCAGGGTGGCTGCAGATGGAATTGCCTGGTACGGGAGGTTAGGGATGAACTGAAAGTGGAGAAGGTTATATATGTCACTGCTGTTTGGTTGCGAGGAATGAAGTAGCAGGTGAACTCAACAGTATTAAATAATGCAAAACGAGCGAGATGTAGCAAGTTATGAATTTTCGATTATGACCTCATATTCACGCTACTCTCACCTTGCCTTGGCGACTATATTCCAGAATCTGTGCGGTCGAGGCGCCTCCACCGACTACGGCCGCAACATATGTTCATCCTTCCTCGTGTCTCTTTCATAATGGCCGTCATCCTGCCGCCCGCCACCCCCAGTGAGAATGCAGGGTGCGCGTAGTGCCGGAATTTTCGTAACAAAAGCTCGATGTCTTCCGGGACGCTCTGCTCAGGTTCAGTCACAGAGATGTCATCCAAACACTTCTCGCAAAAATGCTATGTTCTAGGCTAGCAACTGCTTCATTTTGCCAATGTCACAGGTCAGGCATTGCATTGTATACCAATGCGGAATCGGTTATGATAATACACCAGTTAGACCAAGATCAGGAAAAAGTTATTTTGCTTCACACGCCCTGTTCTAAAGTATGCCTTCTTCCGTTCAAACTCGACCGTCTTCTACTCAGTTTTTCCCGCGCACGGTAGTTCCGGTCTTCGAACTTGGAAATTTTACTTGGGCGCACAGGAGAAATTGATTTTCCCAACCCTGTGATCTTCCGGAGGAATTTTACGAATTTTTGTCGTTACTACTCACTCCCGTGCACGCCCCGTCTATTGTGTGCGAGGCTAGCTCAGTTTGTGTATTCGGTAAAATTTCATCATGCCCTCACCCCCATCCCAGTGTTGACGGCGTTTAAGAGTTTTGTTGACAACGTTTTCAAGAGACACCGCTCAGCTAAATATGGGCCCCGCCCAGTTACGGACGTCGGTCCTCTCCTATTAGTGCCACAGACACACTAGACAACTATCCACCTTTTAATATATAGAGTATTCTATTCAGCATTCACTAGAGTGGCAGCGAGACTGATTATAAAGGTTTTCGTTTGATAATCGGCATATCGTAGCATCCGGGTAATTACCCCGTTCAAAGAGTCGAGACTCAGTCTCGATTCATACTCCTAGGGCGAGATCTCGTATCACCCTCTTAGCCACGGTGCAAGATGGTTTTTTGCATGGCTTCCTTGGCCGCCGACATGTACCAGTGGCTCAGAAGAACTGAAAGATTTCAGGATTTCAACCTTCCGGGATTTGAGACGTTATCCACCCCGCACGGGGTATAATGCATCGTTAGACGCTGTGAGGACGCCTAATCCCAGTTCACTCGTTTTGTTTGGTAGTGCTACTCAATTTGCGTAATATCTCCCTCAACACTGCTATTAACACCTTCATTTCTTTTTTCCCCCCCCCCCCCAGGCAGGGCCAGTTCGGGAAGCATTCCTGCACTTTTCCATTTCCCATCACGTGTCACACCCAATCTGAGGCGTATTCATGAGCTCACGATAGTTGCAGGTCTCACACTATACTGCGACTGAGCTCCGCCAGCGTTAAAAGGTTATCAGGTTCGTTCGAGTTTGAGACCATGGTAACACCCAGAACTAAGATTAGTTCACGTAAAGTGCACAGTGCCCATCCGCGCGTGCTGTACCCCTACTGTTACTCGCCCATCTGGCTTACTGGGCATGTCGAAGCTGAACGGCTCACACGGTCCGTTGTCAGCCACTGAGTCCCAACACTAGTTTAACTGTAGGAGTTCCTATTCTCTATTGACAGCGCCGACCCACAAACTCACATTACGCGTTTTCGGAGGTCGTCCAGGTGGCGGTTTTTGATCGAATTTCGGTGGCAAACCCGGTGGGAGACGAGCCTCCTGCAAGAAGACCATTAGTAAAAGTTTCCGGGAATTCCTTGAAAACATCACAAGCAAAATATTTCTGGCAACGAACTGTGCGAGAATTAATGACGTGACATCGCCATTCACATCGCTATTCGGGGAGCACAACATGTCGTCAGGTATTCGTCAGGTACGGTCACACTAGCGATATTGAAAACACCGACAAAAATGAAAACACTTCCATATATTGTAATTTGATTAATTTTATTATTCATTTAGACATAGGCCCTTCGAGAATAAGTCAGAAGTGGGTATGCGAAGGTGAAGTAACCTAACCAACGTCTGTCCATCGTACAGGTCAACCAAATCAATCCTCCACTTCACGGCTTTCGGCAGGTAAAACAGACGACTGGGAGGATACAAATATGGCGTAGTTCGGTCAGGGAGGGAGGAGGCATTTTGCACTTTCGCTGCCTCACTGGTTCCGGTTAACAAGTCTCACTCTGGTGAAACGTGTGAACCCTTGTGAAGTGGAACAAGCTCGTCGAGCCAACATGGTAAAACCTTCAACTCTAGAAAACGCTCCCTTGAGGGGTCGAAACGTCGATGAAAGTAGCAAAAGTGCAAAATGCCCCCCCCTCCCCGTCGCCAACCCCTGCAAACACTAAGTTGATCCGTAGCAGACGGAAAGACAACAGTCGTGGCCTCCGTACGCTGTAGACCCCAGCGATGGGGCCATATTTGGTTGCTGGAGGGAGGGGGTCGCATTTGCCTTCGAGAAAAATGTTTGATGATTCTTGACTTTTCTCCGCTTTTCCTACTTGACTTTTCTCCGCTTTTCCTACTTTAAACGCGCTATGCTGTTCCAAGTTTCTTCCTCCCTTTCCCACCCCCTCCCCCTCCGTCCAGATTGACGCTACATTTTAGAGAGAAAGAGGACGAATTTTCGAAGAAAAAAAAACTCCGGAAGTTGACAGGTAGGTCGAGGGATGGGGAAGGGGGACGGGTCGTACCAGAGGGTTGAACTTCGCGAGGGAGGGGTTGTGAAAGGACAATTCACAAAACCTCCGCCGTTATCAACCCCTTTTCTGGGATGCGACATGCATTCTCCTTCCACTCAGAATCGCAACGGCTTATTGAGTGCAATGCTGTGGCCAATAACAGCCGGCGGTGGCTAATGGACGAGACAGTGTTCTTGACCCTCTCAAACGAATCTGGCAGTAAATTACCGTCCTTTGATAAGAAAAAGCTTGTTTGACCCTGGCGGAAGCCGATCCGAGGTGAGCGTGCTATTTGCCACTACACCACGTCCACCACCGAGGGGTTGTCTGCAAGTCCCAGCGACTCGACTCTTCCGAGCTGATAAGCAATTACAGACGGGTTCAAGCGTCAGATAGGCTACTACGTGTAGTAATCTATAGTGCCGTAACGCGAACGCTCGCGGCAACCCCGTTCGTTTCATCTTGGCTTGGTTGAAATTTCAAGGGTGTGCAACGGGCACCACGTACAGCTTCTGTGAATTGGATCGAGAAACATTTCTTCAGTGTCGGCTTGAAAATACTACTGAAAGAGAATAAGAGCTAATACCCTCACCTCCTCTGCAGCTGTCGTAGTCAACAGCTTCGTTTCGATGACATGAACTCGTTTTTGTGGTGAGTAGCTTGTCACATCCTCTGTTAGTTGGGTGGACACGGTGGACTCCACCGAAGATTCACGAGCTTTCACATGAGGGAGGAGTGGCTGGACGAGGGGGCACTGGTGATGCTGATTTTGCTGGTTTATTTTCGATGATTGTGATCCGTTTCTGAAAGGAGAATTATCAGAATCTAACAACTGCGTCTAATCTCGGCAAATTAGCAGCGCTATGTGGGCGGAGAGACGCTGAAATACACGTTCCGTGATGGGCAGATGGGCGGGACTTGTAACGAATGCGCCTTCTTTATTGATTCGCCCTTCTTGCTGTCACGCTTAAGAGGGGACGAGATAGGCAAAATGTTCACAAGCTCCGCCCATATCCCCGCCCATCGGTGATCGGGGAAAGTGCTGTAGGAAGTTCGCCAAGCATGGAGGCAACTCACAGCTATCATAAAAAGAAAAGAAAACAAATTTTATCATGTGATTACCAGTTTATCCAGAGAAGGAGAGGAACACGGCGAAGGAGTGTTGGTTAGGTCCCGACCACATTCTACAAGTAGTTTGTAGGCTTCCTGAGCAGCGACCGTCCAATCTGCTGGTGTCTCTTTTGTCTGGCGAGCTGCCAGATTCGCACTGAAAGCAATTTTACAGCAGTATTCAAAGAAAGCAACTGTTAGCTGGGAGGTCAGCCCGTCTAGGTCTGAGATGCGTCCAAAACCAGGCCATGTCACGAATGCAATGACAGGCATCTGGGGTCCAAACAACGACCCTCAAAGATGGGGTGCGCCCTGATTCCATGGACGGACATGGGAAAAACATGTTGTGCATTTATAGCGGCTCTGCGACAAGAGGAGCGGCAGAGCGAGGGAGTTTTATGAGTTCACTGTCTCTGCCCACGCTAGCGCCTAGGTGGACTGCACCCTTGCAGGGAACGACAAATGCCTAAATCAGAGTTGCTGTTCTTCCAGAGCTTCAGGATAACTGTATCCACACAGCAATGAAGGGTGAAGTCTGAGCCTGCCCTAATCCAGTTGATTACTTCACTTCAGTAAAAGCAATGAGTTTGGAGGTTTCGCTGACCTGAAGGACTTCTCGTCGTCCACTATCGGACCGTCTGGAAGAGGCTCTTTCCGGCGGCCACTACTTAAATGTGATTGCGCTTTTTTGTGTTCACGAGTCTGAAAACAACAAACAGTATATTAGGAGTGAAGCAAACTTCGAGAGTTTTCTAGGACCACCTCAAGGTTCAGTTGGATTCTTGCATATTTTATTTTAATTTTAATCACCCTCAACCCCAAGCACGACCTACTCTGATACGACCCCCCCCCTTCTTGCCTATCCCCTGGCCTACCATGTTCTTTATCTCCTGTTTGCAAGTTCGTACCACTTTTCCTAATTTTTTCCAAAAATTCCTCCACTCTCTCCTGAAAAAAAGTCCTATAGAGGGGCAAAGGCACGAATTTTCGGAAGCCAGCACAAACCGAGGAAAGTCAGCCACCGGAAACATTTTTCTCAAAGGAAAACACGACCCCTCTCCTCTAGCGACCGAATACGGCCCCTGCTGAATTCTTAAAGTACGACGTGCCTTGAGACAGTCAGAAGAACCACTGAGCAAGATTACTTGTTTAGAGAGGGCAGTTATGCATAAAAACCTCATCACCGACGGTTCCAACCCTCCCCCTAATCATTACCACGTAGTTAGCATCCATCAGGGTACGACGTCACACGTTGCGGGAGATTTTTGTAAAGTACAATCCCCAAATTTGCTTCGGTGGTACGATTTACTCCAATTCTTACTCACCTTCTCCCCAATTTTTCCAAATTGACGTCAAGCGTAGAGTGATTAGTGGTAACCTCCGTGCAACTACCAGAAAGGGTGGCTTTGCAGCGCTGCCAACTAGGGGAAATATGGCGCGCGTGAAGTGGGAGAAATCAATAATCAAAAAAACTTTTCCCGCAAGAAAATATGGCCTTCTTCCTCCAGCAGCCTAATAAGACTCCCTAGTTCGCACGCAACGGATAGTGAGCCCTGGCACCAGAAGGGTGGCTTTGCGCGCGCCGACAAGGGGAAATCTGGCGCGCGCGGGGAGCGGGAGAAATCAATAATCAAAAAAAAAACTTTTCCACAAGAAAATATGGTACATTGTACCAGAATATGTTGTGCCGTTGGGTAACTTTTTCCAAAATACGATTCTCCTTTAAAGGCAGTTGGCACGATGGTTTCCTACTTAGCCTAAAATGCTAGTAGGGCGCTGTAGTGGGGAAATGGCGAAAGAACGGAGTGAAACGGTCAAAATCCTGCGAAGAAAAAGCCTCCGTTCTCAGTGACTTGAAAATCGATTTCGGACGAGTTTCCCGTAGGCATCTTGCCAATCACCGCTACCGAAGATACGGCTGCATATGTGTACCCCATATGCCTTCAAAACCTCCTATTCCGGTACGACTCCTCTTCCCCCTCTTCCCCATCATCATCTCAACATGTTTTCCTACTTCCTGTCTTTTCCGTTTTATTTTACGAAAATTCACCCTCTTCCTCCCAAAAAAAAAACAGGGAGAAAGTGGAGGAAATTTTTTCCCTCTTTGCAGCACTCGTCCAAATATTATGCCGCCAGCCCTGGTAGATTGGGATACCAGAATCCTCACTTTTGTATTCAAGCTATCGTCCTAGCAACTTTCCAAGGACAACTCAAACCGAAAATCCGCAATAAATTAAATCAGGAAAAGGTCAGAAAACTCAAATAAACCAGTGGAACTTCCGATCGCCCTAACCCGGTTTTGTAGCTGAAAAAGCAATTTGTTTTAACAGCATTAGCGCACCTCTTTCTCATGCCATCGTTGCAATTCTTCAGCTGTCATCAATCGAATCGAATTCGGCGATGGCGTTGACGATGATGACGCACTGAAAGTCATATTTCAATCAAAACAAAGAAATCATCGCATATCAAAAAGGCATCATGAGTTGGTGAATTTTGAAAAGGGGAGAACTTCGTAATCTTACAATTAGAAAAAAAGTTGCATTTGGTCGCTGGTGTGGGGTCGTACTTGCTTTTAAGAAAAATGTTTTCGGTTGTTGATTGACTTTTCTAGGTTCTCCTCTCCAAAGTGCGTTGCATATCCCCTCCCTTGCTCCCTACCCCGCTCGACGACATCTTTTTTGAAAAAGGGGGAGAAATTTCTGGAAATACCTCTGCAAAGGTGGTAGAAAGCGGTGAAAACGGTAAAATGGTAGATCAGATGGGAGATGGGAAGATGATCGTACTAAAGGTGGACGGTTTGAGGAGATAGGCGCATTCTGCTAAATTTTAGGCGCATTCTGCGAAATTTTTCCTAAGGAGGTTCCTTTTTTTCCTGCCCTGCCTACATATACTCTCCCGGACCCCTCGTCATCTGGTAGTCGTGGTCGGCCCTTGGTGGGTATACTCTCAGACCAGGGCCAAGTATGCGTCAAAGAATCCCCGACGAGGTCGTACTAGGTCACAGAAGAGAAGTGACGGTATTTTGAATCTTTTTTGATTTTTTTTCCTGTCTCATGCGCGCTATATACATCTCTTTAGTGGGCGGTGCCGGCAAAATCACTACCTGCTGCCTGATTACAGGCATCCCCCACTTCCCAGCTGCCTGATTGGAAACTGGGGTAATGCAGGAAGATTGTAGGTAGCATTGGGAGATGGGGGAAGAGAAGGCAATTTGGGGAAAAGGTCGAATCTTACAATTTCCCAGGCGACAGGAAGAGCCAGACTGCAGTACTTCTGGAATGGGTGAATAGTTCACTCACGAGTCCCCAAGAAATGCCCCCCCCAACTACTCTCCATCCCTTATTTTGCCAACCAAAACTATGAAAGAATATCCCAGACAAAATAGACGTCATGTTTAGAGGTATGTCTGCTTGTCTGCGTCCTCTCGCCCACAGCAAAGTGGCCTTTTACTGATTCCATTCCCATTCGGCAGACATAACAGACAGTGCTGATACGATGTGGCACAGCAAACCGCAGCCTAGCCCCTCCTACTATGTACTATTGGTCCCGAACATCATTTTCTAGCTCGGGTCAACACTTCAACACTTGAAAAAAAACAAAGCTTGAAAAAAAACTTGAAAAAAAACTGCATGCAACTTGCATGGGACCTAAGCTTACCTGCCAGTGGTCTTTGGTTGCGATGGCGGTTTTCCGTTGCCCGTTATCAGAGGCCGTGTATCGTCAACAATGTCGGTGAGTGAGGAGAGTGAAAAATCGGTAAGATCCCTCTCCAGATGTTCAACCTCATCGCACAGTATCGTATCCGCTGTCGCAGGTCCCGTATAAGCAAGGCTCGTCGTGTTGGTGACGTCACGACTAAAATACCCGAATAAATTCATGAGATGTCAAAAATTGCTCAACAGCACACTTACGCAGGACTTCTTGCATAAACGGCAGAGATCGGCTTGGCGAACGGGGCGCTGATCGGCGGCCGATGGCGCGTGCTATCGTCACTACGGGAGAAATTACTGCTGTTTAACGACGTCAGCTCCGTGAATTCCTCTTGCATACTACGATTCATCGAGTTTGCAGCTGATTCCTGAAGCACCCGAGAAATCGTTGCTTCGATGGCTTTCTAAATAGAGCCGCAACGTCTTCTATTTTTGAGCGCATAAAAAGCTGGGTCGATATTAGGTAGACGTGAAAACTATTTTGATTGATATATCGAAAAATAATTGGAAATCAGGGGCTAATATAGTCCGGGAGGCCTTTTGGCCGCACCTCTGTGCCCCTTCTCCTAGCCGGGTTTCAGGCTTGGAATGTAGACGACCAGGGTAGCCGAAAGACATCCTTGCTGGGAAGATCTCAGAAAACTGAGCTTTAGTTCAAGAAATGAGCACAAAGGCACCTCCATTAGCGCCCCGGCACAGGATGTTGCATTTCTATGGAACTGTTTCGTTTCCTACCTTCAGAGCTTAAAAATTCATAATCGTGTCAGTTCATGTTGATCTATCACACCAAAGTCCAAGACATTACGACGAAAATTTTCTGCTATTTTGAGGTTTAGGCGAAGAAGTGTGGGCGTGGTCCAGGAAATCTGAGGAGCGGCATCGCGCAAGCAAGCCTCAAGTCAGCTTTCCTGTCTAGTTGACGCGACAGCATGAACTCAGTTATGAAAGTTCACACTAAACTAAGGTCCTCAAATGAACGGCGTGGAACGGTGGACTGCCGAAACAATAGACCTGACGCCGAAATACTATGTCGAGTTCCGATTACCATAGGTAATAATCTAGCTGGTTTCTGTGGTCTCGGATAGCCCGCATAACACCCAGGAGATACTCTCCCAGATCCCGGCGGGACGGTGCTCATGAGTGGGGACGATGGTACTTTATGGATACCATACCGGCAGCGCTAAAACACCGCACGATAGCTCTGCTCGAAGCCACGCGCGGTGGCGCTCCCACAACACCAAACTTGGGGAACGGGGGTACTTCGTCGGCGCCGCCCGGTAGCCCCAACAACTCCATTAATAACACGGTCGTTGTGCTCCCCAAAATTCCTCTCCTCTCTAACCATAAAGTGTGGCAAAAATCCTCATGGCTCGTAATCCATGAGGATTTCTGAATTGAGTATTTCGTACTTTCCAGTACTAGATTACGAAAAATTGAAGTAACTGCTGGATTTCAAAAAATAGCCAATCAGGCCAAGAAAATGGCACAAAAACATGTCACTGAGCTCGGCGAATTCATCAAAAAATTAGTGCTGCCATGCAACAAAACAAATCTCTACAAACGCTCGAAACAATCAGAACTGGAGAAGAATATGGTCTCTCTGCTCGCTTCAAAGTAAACTGTTATCAATAAGAATGTAAAACCTAACAAATAAAAATATCGTAAATTCGACCGCAATCACGGTTGTAAAACCGTCAAGGAACCGTCCAGAATCATGTGAACGGCCTGTATTTAGATAGCGCGCTGTTGATATGCGGAAATGGTGCGAATGGTCACGAGGGCTGGTCGGAACCCTTCGATGACTGGCTGTACGAATCACCCATGCAAAAATGACACGTCATCCACACCGGTGAGAAAAACGCGGAAAAATTGCCTCGGAAGGTGGGAGGGATTTATTCTTCCGTATGGAGCATGCATTTGACCTTTTCAGGTATTTCACTTGAATGCCTCTTGATTCGGCAGGAAGGCCGATCAGAAATTAACTTATGCTGGGTACCTGGGGGGGGGGGGGAAGAGGTCGGAACAGCCGACAGAACCGGGTTAATCCAAATTCGCTGCCTTGATCAACGTCAGTAGAGCTTACCAAGCGCTATCTCGCTGAGAGAGGGCAGAGCAGAAAAGGAGAAAGGCCCTCCTCGGCCTACAACTGACTCCGTCCCAATTATCTTATCACCTCACCGATTACCTCTCCACAGTTTATTTTCCCTCTTCTAGACTTCGCTCCTCCTTGGAAGGAACATCTCAATACTACCACAGTCTCGATTTTTGTCTCGCCCGTCTACCTACCATTATCTCGTTGAGAGGGTATAGACGAGCAAGAAATGGAATTAGCCCACCTCCGCTTACGGCAGGCTCTGCCCCAATTATCTGAGCACCTCCGGAACTTATTTTTCCTACCTAGACTTTCGTTCCTTCCAGTTTTGATTGAGGGGACATCTCAGATACTACCACACTCCTCGATGATTCAATGGTTTCTTCCATGAGACACATTTGAATGAAGACAGTAGTGCGCCTAATCGAGCAAGATTATGCAATTAGGAGAAAATGTGGGATATAGTACCCCCGAAAATCGCGCGTGAAATTAAATGTGTTGGGTCCGTGGATGCACATAATTGGGCATAACCTATGCCCAGAAAGAGCTCCGGGCAAGGTCAGGGAGCGAGAGCTACACTAACTCCGTTTTCTACCTTGCCAGGGGCTGAATAGACAACACTGAGAGGTATTTTGTGTACTCACTGCGCGCACGCATCCAATTTTAGGCGCACTATAACTTGGTCCTTATCATTACAAAAGTGGGCGCTGTTTATCGACGGGGGGCATTTTGTATTATAATTGCTTCCCTGGTTCCGGTTTACAAATCTCACTCTGGTAAAACTTGTGAACGCTTGTGAAGCTGGAGCAAGATCGTCTAGCCACCATCCGTGTCAACTCGAAAAAAGGGTACCTAGATGGGTTGGCAAATCTATGAAAGCAGAATGCCCCCCCCCGTCGATAGACAGCGCCCAAAAGTGTTATAAAGTATCTCTCGATCAGAATTGATCAGTAACAATGACATTGCGGCTTCGAACGACTTACCGTCAACGGCGGAGCGCTCGGAGACACCGATGGCCGTAGCTGTGGCGAAGCCTGTGACGATGTAGATGGTGGTGGCTGTGATGGGGCTCGTGACACTGGTGGCGACACTATGTCACGGAATATTAACCTTGGGGAACTTTCCTGAACACAGCAATACACCTACTGTTCAAATAGAGCAATCGATATTTAAAATCCACAAAACATTGTGAGCACAAGAATGCCGGAATTATGGACGAAGTTGATAGAACCGCGTATCAGACTTTGCGATCCGCACGATCCACGTTCGCCGGGGAACTGGCATCGCGCGATCGCGAAGTCTGAAACGTTGTCTTAGCCCAGACGCGATCGAAACCCGCTTTTCCCACTTAATGAGTGACGTGCGCTAAGTTTATGAACCCAGTTATCATACTAAAACAAATCAGAATTTAATAAGGAGCACGAACATTCTACGGAGTAACTGTAAATATAAGCCGCACCGCGACCAGGGGCTTGTTTCACCTACCAGGGAGTAGCTTTCAATCATCTCATTTAACCTTGGCCCTTTGTATCGTACAGCTACAGTTGGGCTCTATGAAATTTGCCAGCCATATAAGTAATGTTTAGAATGATTACCATCGTCAGCTAACGCTTACCCTCCCCCCTCGCGAATGCCACTTCGGCCTGCAAGGCTAGTATGTACGCCTTACTTCGATGCACTTGATATTACTTATATATATCTCTCGGGTGCCTGCTCTCGCGCGATTATATCGTTTTTCTTCCTGGTGCATCGCCTTTTATTTCTAACCTGAAAGGACACAGCTTAGCAAAGCCTCTTTTATGATTAGGAAAAAACTATTTTTAATGGGTCTATCTAAGGATTCTATATATTTTTACGCGCCCGGCCACCTGCACGCGACCGAACCTGTCGATTACTTATGCGCGAACAGTTAGCCAGTCATGCAAAAATCAGAGTTGGTTAGAACGAACAGCTTTTTCAGACGCAATAAAAACCCAAACCATTAGACACAGCAAACCCGAGATCAAGCGCAGATTGAAAAATGAAGAAAAAAAACAAAGCTCTGTTATGTGTTGAAAAGAAACTAACATTAGTGTCATCGGTTCGAGAAAATAATTGGGAGGAAACAGAGCGGCGAAATTAATAGGGTAGTCAAAGAAAAGCTTAAGAAGCTGGAAGCAGTGGGCAAAGAGACTAGAAAGCGCGCTCTCAACGAGACAGTGATCGCCGAATAAAGTTCGTTCACAGCGCGCGAGTAGAGCGATTCAGCCGCACGATCGCTGTAGCGACGGGCTGCGCTCTACTGCTAATTACTGGACCGCTGCACTGCCAAATCACCCACATTTGGAATTAAAAATACTCTGGCAGCTGCAGCGGTCCAACTATTGACAATAGGGCGCAGTCTCCCGCATTTTCAAATCGCGCAACTAAACCGCTCGAATCGCAAAGTATGAACGCTGATCTAGAGAGCGCAGGCAAGAAAAGTGTGGGCATATTAGCTTCACCCACTGCCCCTCCCAACTCCATTGGCCCTCAGAGGCACGGAAAGAAATTACCTTGGAAGGTAGTACGTCTCGCAGTGACATCGTTTCCCGTACGGTGATACCCTCACGAGCGGCTGCACTTCGTAGAATAACCGGAGACGAAACCTATTAGCAGAACACAATTCTATAACTAGTAGAACTACAGCTAAGAAAATAAAACTGAAATAAAAAACAAAACGGCGCCAAGGTAGTTGGCAATGGTAGGTGTAGGGGAGTCGGTTGGGAGATCCACGCTGTGACCGAGCCAACTGACCAAGAAATGCAAATCCTTCCCAACTGACTCCCAGAAGGCAGGGACTAGGCCACTTTCATCCCCTGCACCTTCTGACACTAGAGAATTCGATCAGTATGGTTGAGAGATTGGCGAGCAGGAAGTGGGCGTGGTTTTATCGGGCTCCTACCCTCGCCAAGTACCTTGACGCCGACGAAACTAATACTGTATAGCAATGTAAAGTTTCGAGTCTCACCGAAGTGTTAGGCCAAACTCTCCCATAAAATTCTCGAGAAGAGGCAAGGAGGAGTGCAGATCCCAAGCCGTTACACGCCCACGCGTCGCGACTGCTCGCACGCCGTTGATTTTGCACTCCTCCCAGTCCTTCTAGTTGGTATAGGAAAGGTCACGGGCTTTGTACGATTCAGGTCCAAATAAATAGGTCAGAAAGAACTGAAACGCAGGCCGAACGTCACTGAGGCCAAATGTATGTGAGAGACACTCCCGACAACATTCATAAATCCCTCTACGTCTCTGATGGTCAAACCTGCTTCTCTAAGCTCTACCACGCTCTATCCTATCCGAAAACTACAGCAAGAGTATTACTACAAGCGCAAAAAGCTGGAAACCTAGAAAGAAGCATCTAGACTAAAACTAAGTTGGAATGGAAGTTAGTTTCTACGAAAAACAAAATAAGATCCTGGAAAAAAGGGCCATTTTCTGTAGAAGGGGCACCAATTTCAATTTTGTTGGCAAAAAAGCTGGTCCTGTTTGCGCTTTCTCAATCTGCTTCGATATTTTTACAGCTCCCTCCAGACCCGGATACGGTAGTGACTGGACGGGTTCAGAATGCACCCCACAGCAAATAATCGCGGCGATCTGGACAAAGACCTCGCATTGTTTGGCACGATTCTATGGACAGCTTAGGACCTGCACCTCCAAGCACATACAGCGGTCTTATGTCCGGGTCAGCATGACCAGACCGAAATATGGGGGGAAAAAGCGAAAGAAGATTTCAGCCCTTTCGGCAAATACCACTCAGCAGGAGGGCTTTTTGGCAACTCTAATGCGATCCGAACAACAACCTGGGAATTTCCTACCTGTGACAAAGAAGGTGCCAAGTGGGCTTGAGCTGGCGTTCCGTTCGTACGCACAGACGACGGAGACACTGATGGCGCCACCAGTTCTTTCTTGTCAAGCTAAAATAAACGATGCAGAGCTAGCGAGCGCAAATTGTAGTCACCATTATGTACAACAGTCTTTATCCCTGTGAATGAGAGGGCGTGTGAAGCGGCGCGGACTGAAGCGCAGCCACGACACCGTCCACCTACCACTTTTCCGGACTCTCCCAATTACTCCTACACTTTTCCCAGAAAGCTGCCTCGGGAGGGGGTATGAAGCACTCGAAACAGGAAAAACCAAGAAAAGTCAGGTACCAAAATATTTTTCTCGAATGCAAATATGATCTGTCGCTCTCTCTGGCCACCGACTACGACCCTCGCTGAAGATACCCAACATGCGACGCCTTCAGGCCCACTCTACGAGAAAGAGCTGCCCACCAATAAATCAAATTATACTGTAAAATATGAATAATTCAAAAATATTCCTACCTGCAAGAGACCGAACGCAGTGCCGTCTATGCCTACGTGACAAGTATGTCGAACTTCTCCAACCGGTTCTGAGATCAACGCTTTCCTCTTTTCTCGCTCGCGTTCCTTATCCTTAAGCGAAAATCTCTAAAAATATCGATAATTGTTGGCGTTGATAATTGCTATTGTTATTTATTCAGCCTTTCGCTGCATGTGATGGGGCGTGTCAAACAGGCTGGATTTAGCGCGCCGACAGCCCGTTCTCCACCATTTGTTGAAGAGGACTACTGACGCTGATACGAACATTATGCTGCAGTATTGTGGGTTGAGGAAAAAAAGAAGAAAAAATAAACGGTCTGGCGTCGCGCCAAATCCATTCCCTTGGCATGCCCCATGTTTCCGCAGGCAATTATATTTAGCTCAGATACAAGAAATCAGAGGGATTAACTCATGGACCTGGAGTCTCAAGTTGAAACACTTGATTTTTCTGCGCTTCAATTGAAGTAAAAGTCTGTCTATCATTTGGGAGGGGTAAAGTTTACTGCTTCAGAGGCACATCAGCTCTTCGTATGGGTGGGGAGTCAGGCCTGTGACTGCGCACTTCCTTATTGGCTACACCCGATTTAGAGGCCACTGGGCCGACAGTGTGCTGACCAAACTACGTCTCAGGATGGGGAAAACGACCTTCTTCGGGCGGCTTCTGTCCTCTTTTCTCCTTTTTTCTCGATGCTTTTCGTCTCTACACATCACTGGAAATCACTTCCACAGAAGCATGGATTTTCGCTCCCTGTAAAAAATAGCGAGTTCAGGAGGAGGAACAGATTTACATTCAAATATAATTCGTTTAAATTCAAAAATAAAGTTCAAATTTTTAGCTGAAAAACTAAGGTCAACAACAGCTTCACTTACCCAGATGAGCTACTGTATCGGTCGGTCTGAACAGACCAGTACGGCCGTTTCGAAGTGATCCCAGCCAGTAGTACCCGTCCGGATAACTAGAGGGCCTGAAAGAGACCAGCTTAAAGAAATAGTAAGGCGCGTGCCGCTATCACCGACGTTGCGACGGCTCACAAGTGAGGCTCGTTTTTCAGGATAGAAGACTCGACGTATACGGTGAAGATCAGGTTTTCTTAGGTGGTTTGGTGTGAAGTGACGCGCACGGGGTCATCGCGACGTGGATTCTCCCAAATTCAAACCGAAATGCTCTAAGCTTTCCGATAAATCACTTACGTTCGATCGATAACCACAATGAGATCGTCTTTCCGAAACTGCAAGTGATCGCTGGCTGAGTCTCGACAACCACAGATACAAGCTCTCACAGTTTGCGTAACCTGAAAAAAGGGTATGTGTTAAAAAGTTGTCGCTGTATGTCTGAAACTGTGTACTCAATGCATGTGCGTAAGTGTCTTTACTGCAAGAAACACTAGAGATACGTTGAGCGCTAATGGCCGCCCACCCGAGGAGCCCGTGAAAGCAGCATGTTTGCGGCCAAGAGTGGGGCGTCGCCGTAATAAGTATGAGGGATTTTGGTCACAGCTTGGCGAGGAAGGATTCAAACGGATGTTGAGAACAGCACGAGGTCTCAGCTAGGCGAAGAGAACCCTAAAATGCCCCCCCCCCCATAACCGGCACATTTTTCCTGCCAATTACTATGCAAATCATGAAATAGCAAATTTGTATTCTTTTCGACAATAAAATTAAAAGTGGAAAAAATACCCACACTCGCGTGGTAGACGCTGAACGGGACTCGTTTTTCCCATATAAGGAACATGAAATAAACAGACCGTTTGACAGGGTCAGCATTTCGCAACTTTGAGCCAAAGCAAACAATTCGACGCTTAGGAGGGGCAAAAACTAGTTTCGGAACTATACGAACGACTTTTTGAGTAGTGATCGCTTGAAGCAAGGCACCCTGTCGCGAGACCATATCCTTCTATTGCGCAATTCAGCTCTGGTGAGAGGTGATGGTTGGATATGTGAGTGGAACCTGGGAATGGAAGGGGAGGGAGAAGAAAATGGTTTACCGCAACTTTGACTGACCCCACGAGGATTTCTAGAGGCACCACTTACAGGACACTTCTGGAGTATTAGTGAGGGAATTGGATGCGCGGCGTATCCGAAGAGATTCGATCTGGGCCTGGATTTTTGATTCTAATTATGTATTCATAAGAAGCGTCAATGATTCCAACACCAAGACTCGAATGTCAGAATATGCGGCGCACTTCGGCTGGGGAGAGGGGAGGGGGGTGGGGCAATTTATACTTTCTCTACTTCCTAGTGTCGAGCCATCAAGTACAGATTTGTGAAATCTAGCAAGAGACTACTTGTCAAGCCTTGTAAAGAATACATGTCAACTCTTGTAAAGCAATCAATAGGAAGATGAGAACTAGCGGTGCAAAAAGCCCCCCCCCCCCAAGCGGAGCTGTGCCGAATACACCCAGCACTAAATCGAAAAACCTAGAGTTCAAAAATTACAGAATTCAAAATGACGGATATCCTTTCCCATTCAGCCTGTGGGAAAGATCTGAGACGAACGGAAGTGGTAGAAAGAATGAGATAATGCGTATGAGGCGAGGCAGGCCATTAGCAATGCCCCATCACGCAGCGTGGGAAACGGTGAATAACGCCGTCCGCCGGAAGTCATCACCACAACGCCCACACGATCCGGACCATTCGACCTCGGAAAGAAAAGAACGGCGGGTCTCGATCGCTACTCGAAGGGAACTCCCAATCTTAGGTTAGCGAAGGTCATTTATTACTAATCACGTCTTTCCGCTTTTGTTTGCAAAACATGACCCCCTCTCCGAACTTCCTATTTGCTGCAAGCCACCTTCCCTATTCCTATCCTACCTACCATCTTCCTAAGTTTCCCCAACTTTCTACCATTCTTCCGGAATTTCTTCAGAAAATTTCCCAGTGTTCCTCAAAAAAACTGCCGTCGAGCTGGAGGGGAAAGGGGAGGTGGAGGGGAGGGGCGAGAGGGGTTATGATCCCTTGAGGTTGAGGTGATGAACAAGAAAAAGCAGTAGGAAGAAAATTAACAACCGAAAACATTTTCCCAAGGGCAAATATGACCCTCGCTCACTCCAGCTACCGAATGCGACCCCCCCCCTGCCAAAGATCCTCATCCCGCGACGTGCCCTGCTTATACTGCAATCGCAGTCAGCTCATCGGTGGCCGCAATAGGTCAGCTACTTGCAGAAAAGGCTGAGAAGCAGAGTTACATTTTGTTACACGAGGGGTGGTCCGATTTTAGTGCAGGGCCAAAATCCGTTTCAGAAAGAATGTGTTTCAACTTTCTAGCAACGTACCCTGTACTCAACCTCTTTATTTACACATTTTTTCGCAGAATTGAAACAGCTCTTTTTTGCTGAGAGCGCATCATCGTTGGGTAATATACAACAGGGTCGTATTCGCCGCCGATGAGAGGAGTACTTAGTTGCAACTTTTCTTGAATTTTTGATTTTTTCGCTTTCAGGCATGCTATATTAAATTTTCGCTGATCTAGGCGCGTCATGAATGCCCTGCCACACGGCAGTCTCTCGGGAGAGGTTTGGGGTAGGTAGATTCCGAAAATGGGGCGCAAAGAAGACATGTCCTGTTGTGTGGTAAGGGGGGGGGATGAACTGAGCAAACTTCTCGTCAAAGCTTTCATGAGTCCTGACATCAGTATTCCCTCTATCTCTATAAAGCAGAAACTTTGGTGTCGGTTTGTTCGGTCTGTATGTATGTAAGTATGTATGTTTGTCCGTCCGCAAAATGCTTCACGGGTTCGAGTTCGCTGGAGGCGAAAACGACCGCTAGGCAAACAGGCAAATCGGTGCGGAAGTATCAATTCCAATGTTTTGATCGTGATATCGGCCTCCGCTATATAAGACAACCATTCGGTGAGCTCCGAGCCATTGCACGAGCTGCTGGCGTGGCAGCTGGACGTGTGCTCGTGCGGGGGCAGGGTGGGGTGGGGCCGAGAGAGGGGGGGGTGCGCGCTGCCCCCGCCCCTCTTGCTCCTTCCCCCGCGTGCCTCAGCCCGATCGAGGCACTGCGCCACGAGAAGACGAAGCAGAGTGACGGTACCGACTGCGGACCACTGCGGTTTTTTCAAGCATATGATATAAGATATGGGCACAGGAACTCTGTGGGTGACAAGATTTGCTAGCTGATAAAGGGAGTTAGAGTGGAAAGCACAACATACTCATAACGCGGTACACAGCATCAGTTAGGCGTTGATTTCAGCAAATGATATCAAGGGGAAGGTGGAGAAGGCGACGGCGGGTGACAGGAAATGATAACTGATAGGGTCTGATAGAGAACGATGCAGTTGTTGCTCAGTCAAAAGCTGAAGCCTCTTCACCACGAAATTATGGAGTTTAGTTATAACGACATTGATGACTCCCAGGGTGACAAGCAATTTTATCAGTTGATAAGTAAAGATAAGGGGACATTCTCACGACATCTCTGACCACTATACTGCCAAAAAAAGCCTCTCAGTAAGCAAAATTTTCCCACAGCCATCACTCCTTTGATAGCACTAAAAAATGTACTCATCCCACTAGGGGGGGGGGGGGGTATATACTTCGCCTGAAACAGGAAGTTTGGAAAAATCAAAAACTTCAATATTGGAGCACACTTTATGCGTTCAGTGAGTATTTAACTTCTTTTTTGCTTTTCAACTTTTAATCACTGATGAGAACGAATAACGAAGTATATTTGATGGAGCATATTGTTTTTGCAGTATGCCTGGATTATGCAAGTATGGAGGGGCAGATTTCAAGTCGTAGCGTTACTCTGTCTATTAGGGATTTCCAACCTACACCTGCCGCAATATGAGCAGCTCATGCAATTCACAAATTCCATCCCGTTATGATGCGCGCCTGGCGAAGCCTGGCCAGCTCGGCGAAGCCGAGCTACAAAGAAGGAGGAGCGCCCCGGCGGCAGCTGGGCGATCCGACTGGCGATCAAAGAGGAACGAAGCTCAAAGAGAACTCTAAGAGAGCTCAGATATTTACGAACGCAGCCTAAATATTGTCATCTGCAGCCATTCATGCAACCTTGGCAGGTGGATTGCATGTCTTATCGACAAGTTAATCCGCCCACCGCTTTTTGTTGTGATGCAGTAAAAAAACGGGATTTCGTCTACTGTGCAACACATATTGATATTCTGTACTTCCTTTATACTTCTAAGATCTACGTATAGAATGGGCGTTATGGCCGAAACCAGCAGGCCTTCTGCAAATATGAGGGGTACAGATTTCGCTAGGTTACTCTGTCTATTATGATTCGCCACTAGCGCGAGCCAAATATCAGCACTCAGGCAATTTAACAAATTCCTTTCCGTGAACGCCTGGCGAAAGCCAGCCCGCTTCGCCGAAGCCGAGTGAAACAGAGAGCGAGGAGGGCCCTTCGGGCATCAGCCGCGCATTCGACTAGTTAATATAAATCCGTAAAAAAAGAGACGGAGATGCAGGCAAAAGCTGCTCACAGTGTAACCTGGCTCTCAGACGAAAGAAGAAAGAAGAACACCAAGAAAAGGGTAAAAAGACTACTCCGAAGAAGGTTACCTTTCCGGGAATTGTGTCATAATTTGGGCAAATGTTGGTCGTTTAATGGGGGCGTAATTCCAGCATTCCTCCATCAATGTATACATATCTTCGGGACAAGCTGTCGGTCGGTCGAGATGCTTTCGTTGCTGATCGATCAGATTGAGAATCTGAAAGTGCGCTCCTTTAGCAATTTTATAAGTAACCTTATATTTAATTCCTATTATACTATACCAAATAATTCCAGACTGAACTGAAGCCAGATTCGTCTAGAAGGATGAAAATGCTTAAAAAAAGATGCTAACTTCAGCGCCGGTTTTTCCTTGCCATGGCATTTCACCGTACGAAAACATCTCCCATAAGGTCACACCAAACGACCAAACATCCGATGCCGACGTGAACTAAAAACCATTACAACTTGTAAATAATGACTATTTTGGGCGCTGTTCGGCTTGGGGGGAGCATTTTGCACGTTTGCTATTTCCTTTTGCTAGCTCATGTCAACCTGTATTCTCGTGAAGTTCGAAAAAGTAGCAACGTAAGTGAGCTTGCTTACAGGATTTCACAAGTGTTCTTAAGGTGGCTGTCCAAGCCTCGATGAGTACCGCTTCTGTCCACCGCCTCCCACCCCCCAAGCCGAACTGCGCTGTGTGGGATGCGCCGCGTGGTCGCTTTCTCAAGCGGAAGACGTTGAACCGATTGAGTGCATAGGTAAGAGTTTAATGAGCATTCTGCTAGGAACAAGGCAACACGAAAAACTAAAAAAATAAAAACAAATAAAAAGGCAAAAGTAATGACTAGTTCATGTACCTTGAGAAAATTGATACACTCAGGGGCACACCAGGCGATCGGCAACTTTAACGACGTTGAGAATTCACTACGATAGTAATCCTCACCAACTCCTAGGGATCGCGATAATCCAAAATCGGAGATTTTCACCTGAAATACAAAAAAAAGTAATTGATTATAGTAAGTGCTTGGCTTTTTCTGTGCCTTATGGACTCGTTAGCTGTAATTTGAGCGGAGAAAATCCGCTGTCGGATGAGAGCGTTAGTCAATTGATAAACAGTTAAGTTGTGATAAAAGTAATGATAAAAACATGATAATAAAAAAGAATGAGTAAAATTAATGATGAGCATTTGGCTGACTGAGACGGAACCTTGCAAGGGGACCCTGAACACTTCAAAAAGTTAGTCTACTCTTCGAAACACATGAATTCGGTACGATATAAAAATGGAAAGGAAAGAAAAAATGGAATGAAAAATGGACGGTTAACAGTCTTTTCAAGGTGAGCCATGCATTCATCCACTGCCCGGAACTGTAACGTTATTCACAGCGCATTTGGGCTTTAGAGCAACCTGAAGAGCAAGCCGAGGGCATTCCAGTGTTTTCATCTCTCGATAAGTCCCCTTATAACAAGCCTACCTTGTAGAGATGGTAGGCCCTCAGGGGCAAAAGCAGGTGGAATGGAGGGGGGGGGGAAGCTGGAGATGATGTGGGCATGGCGGATTCTACAGTTGATTGAGATCAATTCTATAGGAGTTTCGCCAGCCTGCCGTCAACACCATACTATCATTTCCTATACTGAGGTCCTTACTTGGTTCACAGACAATTTTCCTACAGCTCTTTTTAGTCGAGAAAAACGGCTGGTTCAGTGAAGGAGGATGCCGCCATTCGCGGCCCTTCCTCGGATTCCCAGAAAGGGATGCGCTACGAATTCTCCTGCTACCATTCAGAACTACATGGAGATGTTGTTTACCTGCTACAGGCGGTTTGGAAGGGTTTGAATGTGGCTTGACTCGTAGGGAAGCTGACAGCTTGTACAAGTCGTACTGTCATCCAAAAAACGAGGCTAGGATAAAAGCATTCGACCCCGGTTGGGCGGCATAGGAACCTTGACTTGTGATGGCCATCCATATCTCGTAGATGGGGAGGGCGTGGACATAGGCTATTTGGACATGGCGTAGAATACGCTTCTTGCTGCGAGATATTTGCTTTTGGGACAACTGTCACCTTGTCATGTACTGGATAAAAGCCCTACGTACTTATAAGGTGCCCCCTAAACAAGAGACCAGAAGACAGCACCGAAACGCTTCAAATCGACATACGGCGAGCAATGTCCTCGCCAATTGGGAGCCATCCACTACCCTTGCTTTCCCCGATGGAGGTAGTTCTAAAAAACCAGGCAGAAGGCCTGAAAAAAAAAATTTCGTAATTAGCTCAATGGAAAAAATATAAACCGAGGACATGGTGTCACGGATGTGAGATTTCGAATTTTTCGATATTTAGTGCCGCCAAAACACCACCAGGAATCCAGCTGTTCGTGGAATCTGGCAGCTGCATTAGCACGTTCATTTGAATGCCCAGAAAAACTCATTAGAAAAATTGGAAACGGGCTTTTTTGTTGCGGCTTGCCAAGCTGTTGACGAGAACAAAATGCTTGAAAGGATGAACCACCATTCGTGGGCGGAGCCAGGAGGTTCGTCTTTTCGATACAAATTGATCTTTTTAAAACAAAGAATAAACAAGAACATGTCTTGGAGGATACAGCGCGATTCGGATCGGGGAGGGGGGGGAGGAGGACACTTTAGCACTTCATTGCACCTCACTAGTTCCGGTTTGCACACTTTACCTGGGAAACCTGTGAACTCCTGTAAAGCTGGAGCAAGCGCATAGAGCCACAATGGTGAAACCTGTCAACTCACCAAAGGGCTCATTAGATGGGTCGACAAGTCGATGGGAAGTTGCACAAGTGCAAAATGCCCCCCCCGGTCGCCGAACTGCGCAGGGTTACTTTGTTCTCTGAGCATGAATAACGCACTAGTCTGTGTTTGAAAACGCCCGACAACAGCGCGCTTATGGGGTCGGGGCGACAAGCTCCTTGCGTGTGCTCGACTCGTGGCGGAGGTTGGGGCGGGGCGGGTGTCGGGGAGAGCAGGGCAGCAACTACCTTTAATGACCAGTGTTATCCAAATCTTATTATAGGGGAACACCTTCGGCCCTGAGTTTGGTACGAATTTGGCAACAAGGGGTAAACAGTGTCAAAAATCCATGAAACTGATGAGCTAAAAAAATTAAAGTTTTGGGAAAGGATTAATTTCGGCGCAACTCGGTTCAGGGGGAGGTGCACTTCGCACTTTCGCCATTTTCTCATGTGCGTAATTGCCTGTTAGGCACCGCCTTCAGTAACTTCCGCATGACGCGAGTTGACTGCGCTGTAACGCCGCTGTGAGGCGCGTCGACGGTGCGTGCATCGCATAGTTCTGAACGCTGCCCTAACAAGAAATTGACAGAATCGTTTACAGAGTTGACAAGTGGATTGTGCTATAAACACTGCGCTGTATTCACTTAGTGGCTTCACAGTGACTAATCTCCGCCTGATGGCTCGACACGACGTTGAAAAGCAGCGAAGGTGCCAAATGACCCCTCCCCCTTAGCCGAACTGCACCTCGACCACGGAAAAATTTCACGAAACAAGTCAATTTCTGAACAAAGCGAAGACGGAAGGAATCACACGATCGGCCTTCGGTTAATCTCGGCGTCAGAGAGTAACAATTCGAGTATGTTCCTTAGCCTCCGAGATTTGTACAGCGGTGCGTGTTATTGTGCTGTTCGGCGAAATAGTCTCTTCGAACCTTTTTTACGGCGTTAGAAGTTCCACCGCGGCATCTGACCGCTACCTGCACATCTCGGAGGCTTTAGGAATCATATTGAAGTGTTACGGAAGGCCAGTCACATTTCGCCACCTTTGGTTGCGACTAAAACACAAGAACATTTCTGGCGGCCAGATCACGATGTATCAAGCGGTTCGATTCCAGGTAAGCCATGCCCTGAAATTAGATAACTTCCAATAAATGAACGAACGATCAATTAATTTAATAACTAAACCGAGGAAATCTACGAACTTTAGCTATTTGCCTTTCCGCATAGTCGCCAAACGTAATGGGTATGGAAAACGAATCGCCGCCAAGGTCGGTTTATGTGAAGACATGTCAGAGAAGTGATTCCACATGTCGCCAATTACGGACACCTTAATGAAAAGATGCATTATCGAATCGATACCTCAAGCTCAACGAAATGCGCCTACAAAACAGAAAAAAAAAGTTCTGGTTTCTCATGGAAATATGATGCTGCCGAGGTCGTTTCATGAAACACTGGGTCTCTCCACCTTATATGCCGGTTGTCGCGAGTAGCGGCAAAACTCGGAGTCATGTTTCAAAACTTGACCGCAGTTTGACCCCTGAACGTGAATACCGTGTCCCCTCATCACAGAACCGGCGCCGGGGCCACAATACACAGTGTGATAAGACCCCTGGTTTTACTAAGGCTCATTTCCGGCAGAGGAAGGGATCACCACCTCAGCGGAAGGGCGCAGACGAGAAGAAAAAGTCGCGCAGTCGTATGTCTCCCTCCCTTTTCCCTACCCCTGACTCCCTTGCAGATGTTTGCTCGCCTCAGAAGGTCAAACTACCCTGTTCAGGGGGAGGGGCTAGTTGCCCCACAGAACTTATCGCTTTATCATGCGTCTTGCCTTCAGAGGAAACGAAAAAATCAGTCAAATCAATAAATGCCCACAAACCATCATCACTTTCTTCATGTCCAGCACTACACCATATAATCGCACCACATGTTCATGATGCATTCGTGTCATAATAGCGGCTTCCTGAAGTGAGTTTTTTTTCTCAAAATAGCAAAGCACGAAGGATGCTGTAGATAGGAATTTGGCGCTGTTCAGCTTGGGAGGGGCATTTTGCACTTTCGGTTTTTTTGGGATTTCTATTGAACTACACGTCTCACCTTGGTGAGACCTGTAGACTCTTGTCAAGTGTAGACGAAGCTCCTGCTATTGCACAGCTTTACAGGAATTCACACGTCTCCCGAAGCATCGGCAGTGATCGATGAGAACCAGCAAAATGCCCCCACCCAAGCCGAACTGCGCCGAAATTCTCAAGATTATCTTACTTGGAGAAATGCTGTCGAACTGGCCAATAATTTGTCGGGTGCGACACATTTTACTGCGACCTGAAAGAAGAAATGGTCATTCAAACATCGGCTGAACCCAAAAAGAACAACAGAATGCTGGAAGTTTATCAATTCCTTACAAATGATTGCGCCAGATACATGATTTCCAAGCAGCATTGCGGAAACAATGGAATGTATAGTTGGACCTGTACTTTAGGGCACCCTCTAGTAGGAAGTGCGGTAAGCTGAATATTTATGGTAGCCGATCGAAGATTTATCTAGCTGATTTCCTCCCTCTTCCATGATGGGTATTACACGTGGCATCGAAGGAGAAGATGTGGGGGAGCGGGTCCGTATTGAGGAAAAAATTTCCAGACCCCTATGATATTCTGGGTTGCCGCCATCTTTCTCTTCCCGTCAACGATTTTTCCTC